ACTGAGTTTAAGGAGCGAAGTATTTAATTGCATCGACCACTTCACTTACCTCAGAAGTCGCATCAGTTCTTTTAGGTTGTTTGATGAAAATTCAAAAAGCTTGTTTTTAGTTTGCCAGTTTAGATCACTTGATCCGTCTGCCGACGAAGCTGTGGGTATAACTGTGAAACATGGTCTATTAAATTAAATGTCATGCGCAGACTACAGCTTTTTGATCTTACAATTCGTCAAAGCACTGGTAGCGTTTTTTTAAAGTACAGAGTGTGCAGTTTGGAGGTTATATGCAAGGGTTTAAGTAAGTTTTCTGTGAGATTGTGAGGTTTTTGGCGGAAGCAGTCGAGGCATATTCTACGTAAATCTATTCACAGTCCATCGTACGATAATTATGGTTTTAAGGGTGGTCAAACAAAAAATTGGTATCAGTCCATGAAGTCATTAACTGTTGAATTGTGTCATCCTGGTAAGTACAGATTTACTGGTTGAGTTTCTTGCTATTGTCGTAAACAATAATTGGGAACTCTGGATGACATAGCTTTCATTCTTCTTCTTTCCTCAGCTTTAGAATTATCTCATACTTTTCACTCCTCAATTCTATTTTCCCTGACTTATGCCGTCAATATTTAATATTTTCGACTACCAATGATACTGTTAATAATTCTATCACTCTAGCATTTGTCTTGACGATTTTTTTCTATGTTGGTGTAATGTGTCAATTTGAGTCGATGTACCTTACTTAACTTACGCCTGTTACTCCCAATAGAGCATAGGCCGCCGACCAGCATTCTCCAACCCACTCTGTCCTGGGCCTTCTTTTCTAATTCCATCCAATTTTTGATCATTCTTCTCATGTCTATCTCCATTTCCCGGCGTATTGTGTTCTTTGGTCTTCCTCTTCTCCTTTGGCCTTGAGGATTCCAAGTGAGGGCATACGTTGTGACACAGTGGAGTGCTTTCCTCAATGTGTGTCCTATCCACTTCCAGCGCTTCTTCCTGATTTCTTCCTCCGCTGGGATCTGGTTTGTTCTCTCCCACAGTACGTTGTTGCTAATAGTGTCCGGCCAACGGATCTGAAGTATTTTGCGTAGACAACTGTTAGTAAACACCTGTATTTTCTGGATGATGGATTTCGTAGTTCTCCAGGTTTCTGCCCCATACAGTAGAACTGTCTTGACATTTGTATTGAAAATCCTGACCTTGGTGTTGGTTGACAGTTGCTTTGAGTCCCAGATGTTCTTCAGTTGTAAATATGATGTTCTTGCTTTACCGATCCGCGCTTTCACATCTCCATCAGATCCACTGTGTTCATCAATGATGCTGCCCAAATATGTAAAGTTTACTACATATTCCAAATCTTCTCCGTCAAGTGTGATTCAATTGTCGCATGATGTGTTGTATCGGACAATCTTGTTTTTCCCTTTATGTATGTTGAGACCTATTGCTGCTATACTGGTCGTCCTCTACTGCGTTTGTTGTTGCGTGTGCGATAGAAGAGCCAGATCATCTCAGTCAGTCAGCTACAACGTGGGACCAGGCACATATGTGCATCGGTCCAGGTTGCCATACCGCGTCAGCACAACAAGATGAACACCGGATTCATAGCAGTGGTTAGGTCAAAGGTAGTAATATATAAGAGAAAGATTGCATATAGAGATAAAGTACAAGAAGAAAGAATTGCTTCGTAGAAAGAACGATATGAATCGATTTTAATCTCTTAGTTTAAGGGAAGACAGGGAGTGTATACACCAACGCCATTGTGATCGATTCTGAGCCATGTCACCAAGAGTCTCCAACCATTGGTTACGATTGTCACGCGGACCCCAACCAAGTAGTCTGCATCTACCAACATGGCCCAGACTAGAAGTTAGTGACTTCAAGCACTGATGCCACGTTTTGGTTTGGCCGCCCCTAACTTTCTTCCAACCATTTCCAATACCGGATAGCATTGCACGTCGTGGTAATCGGTGTTCAGGCATACGTAACACGTGGCCCAAGCATCTCATTCGATGAAGATTCATAACCTCATCAACTGATTTACCATCATTCCCTAATACCCTGCGTCTAACCTCACTATTACTTACCCGGTGATCCCAGCAGATGCCAGCAATATTTCTAAGGCATCTGTGGTCAAATACTAGTAGCTTACGGGTGTCTTCTACTCTTAATGGCCATGTTTCGCTGTCGTAAATTAAAACAGAACGGACTGCCGCGCAGTATACTCGTCCTTTTATTGACAGGCGGATATCTCGCCTTCGCCATAGGTGACGCAAGTTGGCAAAAGCCAATCGAACTTTTCGAATCCGTGCTGAGATTTCGTCAGACGCCAACCCATTATGGCTGATCAGACTTCCAAGATAAGTGAAGTTGTCAACGCGTTCGACTACTTCACTCCCTATCCTTAGTTCAGGTGTTAACGCAGACCAGTCCTGAAGCAACAACTTGCATTTAGAGGGAGAGAAGCGCATTCCAAAGCCAGATCATCTGCGAAGTTTAGATCGTCCAGTTGCATCCTACCTGTCCACTGTATCCCGTGCTTCTCCCCAGATGTTGAGGTTTTCATGATCCAGTCGATCACCAGGAAAAAGAGAAAGGGTGAGAGTAAGCAACCTTGCCTGACACCGGTCTTCACTTCGAACGACTTTGTCAACTGTCCTCCATGCACGATTTTGCAGTGTAATCCATCATATGAATTCTGTATGATATTGACTATCTTCTGAGGCACGTCGTAGTGTCGAAGAAGTTTCCACAGTGTTGTTCTGTCCACGCTGTCAAATGCTTTTTCGTAGTCAATCAAGTTGATGTAGAGTGATGAATTCCATTCAATTGATTGTTCCACAATGATCCGTAGAGTTGCGATTTGGTCTGTACACGATCTATCCCTACGGAATCCTGCTTGTTGATCACGAAGTTGGGCGTCTACGCAGTCCTTCATCCTGTTTAACAATACCCTGTTGAAGACTTTTCCCGGTATTGAGAGAAGAGTGATGCCCCTGTAGTTATCACATTTGCTGAGATCGCCTTTCTTCGGTATTTTAATCAGGAGTCCTTCTTTCCAGTCTGTTGGTACTTGTTCCTCATCCCAAATCTTATTGAAGAGAATGTGGAGTATCCTTGCAGTTGCCACTACGTCTGCTTTTAGTGCCTCTGCTGGAATGTTGTCTGGTCCCGCTGCTTTGCCACTCTTGATTTGTCTGATGGCCATGCTGATTTCTTCAATTGTTGGTGGGCCAACATTGATTGGGAGGTTCGTGGCTGCTGCTTCGATGTTGGGTGGGTTCAGTGGAGCTGGTCGATTCAAGAGTTGTTTGAAGTGTTCTACCCACCTGTTTTGTTGCTCTTCAATGTTGGTGATTACCTCGCTTTCCTTGCTTTTCACTGGTCGTTCTGGTTTGCGGCGATTTCTAGAGAGTTTCTTTGTCGTATCGTACAATTGTCTCATGTTTCCTTCTCTTGCAGCCTTTTCCGCCGTCGTTGCTAAATCTTCCACATATTTACGTTTGTCGGTTTTGATGCTCTTCTTCACTTGTTTGTTTAATTCTGTGTATTCAGCTTGTGATGGTGCTTCTTGTGACCCAGGACCTCATGACATGTTGAAGTGATTGCCTCTTTGATCCCTTTCCAGTTGCTCTCCATAGTAGTTCCTTCTCCATTGAGTAGATCATGAAAGGCCTGGAACTTGTTGCTGAGGACTATCTTGAATTCGTTGAGTTTGTTAGTATCCTGAAGAAAAGCCATATTGAACTTTTGTGATATTGTCCGCCCGATTGTCCAGTGCTTCTTAAGTTTCAATTTCATCTCGGCGATCAGCAAGTGATGATCTGATGCTATATCAGCTCCTCTCTTGGTTCTCACGTCCTCTATAGTCCTCTTGAACATTTTGTTAATGCAAATATGATCGGTTTGGTTTTGCGTGGTGTGATCCGGTGAAGCCCATGTGGTTTTGTGTATGCGTTTATGTGGGAATATGGTGCCGCCTATGACCAGCTTATTGAAGGCACATAGATTTGCAAATCTCTCACCATTTTCGTTTCTTTCTCCCAGTCCGTGTCGTCCCATGATGTCTTCATATCCAGTGTTGTCCGTTCCAACCTTGTCATTGAAATCTCCCATCAGAATGGTCAGGTCCTTTGTTGGGCACTTCTCGACGATTGACTGCAGCCTATTGTAGAATTGATCTTTCGCGTCTTCATTGTATTCGTTGGTAGGCGCATAACATTGGATGATGTTCATTGAAATGCCCTCTTTCTTTGTTTTAAAGGAGGCTTTGATGATCCTTGGTCCATGAGATTCCCATCCCATAAGTGCATTTTGTGCTCGTTTGGACAGCATCAATGCAACTCCTTGTGTATTTGGTCCATTTTCTTCTTCATGGCCGGAGTATAACAGGAGCTCTCCTGTAGTTAGTCGTTGTTGTCCAACTTGTGTCCAATGTGTTTCACTGATCCCAAGTACCTCTAGGTTGTATCTTCTCATTTCTGCAGCAATTTGGAAGGCTCTCCCGGTGTCCCACATTGTACGAACATTCCATGTACCTAAATAAATGGTCGCTCTGGTTATCAGAAGGGGCATCGGCCTCGTAACTTCCGAAGGAATTCAGCTTTCATCATGAGGCGTCATAATTCTTCTAAATGAAGACCTTCTGACTCCCAGAGCAGAGTTTAAAAGGTTTGAATAATTTTTTCTGGTTAGCGTTTTTTAGCGAGTTAGTTTTCTACGGGATGGGGACGCCAACTCCATCCCCAACCCTCCTCCTTTATCCGGGCTTGAGACCAGCAGTAGCCCCCGGAGGGTCTTCAGGCGGAGTTGAGTCGATGTAAAATATGCTAATTTCGATGTTGCTCATGACTGCCTGTCTGAATATCACATTGGATTCTATAGCGATTATAAATTAATCTTCCAATACACATACCACGAAATTTCACACATAATGAACTGTTTCATTGTTATTTCATCGTTTCCTAGTTTTATTTATAATTAATGCCTTTTTTATTATTTTTGTTCAGAAAATCTTGTAGTGTTTATGCATACCAATAACCATAACAGTCAAATTTATTCAAATCCTACATTCACAAATTATCTACGAAATGCAACCTACTTGTTGATTGACATATGGTTACTTTCATTATAAATACTCAAATAGCATACGATTAATTATTAGCTTCAGTTGATTATTTTCATCTCGTTAATTTTTACGATAAAACATTGCTTTGAAAAAGATCTTTATTTTCAATGCTTCATAATAAATCTGAATCATTTGCACCTTCTGTTGGGAATGAATTAACTAGAAATTTTAAGAATTTTGGTGAACCTGTGTATGTAAATGTATATCATTTGGTGAGTATTATATTTTACTTTTAAAATATACATTCTTTCACCTAGCATTGGCCTAATGGTTTAAAAATGGGTGCTTATCATACTGGAACTGTAGTATACGATAGAGGTAAGTGGCAGTTTTATAATGGAATTTTAAATGTTGTTTTTATCTTTCCATTTAGAATTCGGTTTTGGTGGACATCCATTTGCAAGTAGTGGTATCTTCCAGACTACACCAATGGATATTGATAGTTTAGGTGAAGAAATTTCATTCAAGTAAGTCTTAGTTGAACTAAATGTTTTTGACTTTTCATCAAATATTATGTTAATATATAACGTTTTTCTACAATTGTGGGACAACAAATGCATCATTTAAATCAAAGTGACTATGTTAATAAGACAGAAAATTATATCACTAACAAAGTTTTTAAAGACAAATGATCGAAAAAGAGTAGTAGCAGAACCGAGTTCATTTCTCTATTTTCATGTTACCTGATCATATATAAGTCCAGAAATAATCGGTCTGGTTGCCAGTGAAATCGATTTTAAGTGTTGTCTATTGATGTCTCCAGGCATTTAGTTTCTCAACCTCTATAACCCCGTTCAAGCAAGGTATGAACTGAGTTTAGTTATGCGCCTCTGCTATTCCTAGGATAGCTTATTTGCTAACAAAATATCCGTCCTTCACATCTGCTTTTAGAACTTTGAAATAAATAACTTAAATCATTCGCCGCATACTTGTTCATGAGGGATACTCTTACTGTGATGGCTAATCGTAATGTTCAGTCCCTCAAACCAAAGTAAGCACAATGGGGTTCGAGCCTGAGACTTAATGGCCGGAAGTTTCATGCCTTAGACACTAAGTATTTTGCTTTGTAATAGAACGTATGCTTGTTCTTTCCCTACCTTTTTGATCATACTTTCGAATCAAAAAATGCAAAGTGCATACTGCCAGGCTTATCAACTCTGAGCTATCTTATATCCTAAACAAATCGCTTTACGTTAGTTTTAAACTTGTCAGTACTACATGAGTTTTCGTGGTTGTTAAAGTGAGTCAACATTGGACGAACGTCTCAATAAACATGTTAATGACTGTCTAAACTTTATAAATTGTTGATATTAATTTAATTAGTTCTATTTAATGATAAAATATTTCTTTGGATGAATCTTTCACTTCTCATTCTGAGCATGCGTTGTATTACTTTGTCCATACCTTCATAGTATATTGATACAAAATATAATGACTTGAATCGGTATTACTATTCTCGTGTCCGTGAATTAATTCAATCCATAAACTAGTAATTATTTTGTATCTTCCAGTATTCAGTTGAAAGTGAATATCGTATATTTTCAACGGAGCTGATTTGATCAAATGATCATTGTTTTTGTTAATTCTTATGCATAAATTTCCGTTCAAACCACTTGATCAGTTTTCATTCTTATAACTAATCTAGACTTTTCATTTTAAGTGTTTTTAAATCGTGATCAGATGTTATGCTTTAGAATATAATATCACATTCTTCTAATCATCATTTTGACAGTTGTAAACTTACTATTCTTATTACTCACCGGTCCTCTTTTAAATCTGTAAATCTTCTGGAAGACATAATGATTCATTCAAATGAATCTTTTGTGTTATTGACAATTTATAGTGAAGTCATGTTTTACATATTCTCTCATTTTGTATTGTGTGATTCCTTTTAGCTTTTAACTGTCGATCCTATACCATAATGCTGTGTAAACAATTTTACCTATAGACTATCTCAAATATATATTCTATAAATGATTCGCCCAAATGTATATCGATTCTCTGTAGCATACATGTAACACTTATCTTCAGCAAGGTATGAGAATTTCAGATGGAAATAATCAACTCATTTTTACCACCGAAAACACTGCGGCCTAATAATTAAAGTCTTTAGGTCTCAACCAATAGATCCCAAGTTCAATCCTTGCTCCACCTAATTCTACTTAGACATCTGAATAATATCATCAATGTGGCTAAGATTACATAAGTTTGTCTTTTCCAAGCAAGTTACATTATCAATCACACCATTAAAAACTATTTAATTTTGACAGTTATGAATGACAACTATGTTTGTTTATTGGAGATCTTTTTGATGATTGGATAATTATAATAATGATTAAATAGTCATTTGGTAAAATATCAAGTTATGTAGTGAATTACATATGACAATTTAGAAATCTGATGATTCATTCGTTAAACCAAGGGCCACTTGCACCATGTCTGTAGAAACTTAAATAGGGATCAAATGCCCACAACGTTATTACTACACATAATTTGGAAAAGAATACCTAACACCAGTGTTTTTCTGAATGGGGATAAACTCCACTGTCGTTTTCCGTTTTGACCTTGCGCCTGGCAATCAATCAAAATGAGGTGGGAATTATTATTTGCGCTATCGTAATTCACACACACCGATTATTTTTATGGTAAAAATTATTCCAAAATATCTACAATAAGTGATTAAATAAACGAAAACTTGGCCTCATATACTGACTGAGATACACTTAAATGACTTGACAATGTAGAGTTCATCCCCAATCGTTTTTATTATTTTAATATGTGTATAATAATGTTGTATAAACGTAAATCAAACGTAAAACCAAATTACACCGAATGATTCGTTTAATAACTTCAAAAATGTCATTCCGCATAAAATATTGTTTTATTTTTTCTATTAATTCAGAGAAAGATTATATATGGGTCGGACGTATTTATCAAAAAAAGCTGTAGAACGTTTACTTGCTAGTTTGGCTGATGAATTCCGTGGTGACGCTTACCATTTACTACATTTCAATTGTAATCATTTCACTTCACAGTTTGTTGATGTAAGTGTTTTATTTCATACACATAGTTCCCTTTATCATTTTGAAAAGAGCAAGAACAAACATTCTAACAGAATAGCAAGCGTGTAAATAAATTTAATAGACTGAATAATGTAAATATATACCTTATGTAAGAGAACATTGTGACAACAGTTCAAGCGGCTAGTAAACATTGATAAGAATAAAATGAGTAGAATTCAGTTGATAAAATAAGATTATTAATTTGGCAGATATTTGGAATAAAACCCAATGATGTAATAAATGCAAAAAAGAGTTTAAAGAAAGGGATAAAAAAATACATTAAGATATATATATACATATTAAGATAATTTTGTGTGTAAAAGTTGTCTCGTCGGCATTTTTCCACATTCGTCAATTCTTCCAGTTTATCAGTGGTGAATATCCTTTCTGCCCTATAAAATAGTGTAACGTTCAGTCATTCGGATATATACGCCATTTCAAGTAATTTCTACATGAATCATCTTAAATTTACAAAAATCTATAGATGTAGTTTTTGTGGTCTTTTTGATTACAGATTAGATCGATAGAATTCTATCAGAACCATGAGCTAGGAAGTAGGACGTCGATTCCCACTCACTTACACATTACACTTAATCCACATGTATAGCAAATTAATAACTTTGATGTTATACGTTTTCTTCTTTGACGGATCTTTAGCTTACTCGAATTGTGTTTTGGACTGGAACACAACAAGCCTATCAACAAAATGTAGAACGAACAGCCAAAATGTTCTACAATAACAGCACATTTTAAACTAATTTATTTTTACTTTGGCGACCAACTTGGTGTAAATGCCCTCTGCATAAACTCAAAATGCTCCAAAAATTTCATTCAATGGTCACCTTTTGTAACTTCTTGAATATAGTACACTTCATACTTTCTGGCAGTCTTATTAGAAACACATAAGCCATTCAGTCAGTCAGTCAGTTACAACGTAGGACCAGGCACATATATGCATCGGTCCAAGTTGCCATACCTCATTAACACAACAAGATGGACACCGGATTCATAAATCATTATCTGTTCTGAAAGTCTTTTGCGCAAGTATGTAGAACCACAACTCTCTGTTAACATTTGAATACCCAATGGTTTATGTTCTTGGATTCACCTTTTGGTAACTTTCACCCTTTATATCGCCTTACATATCCACAGTTACCGAGTCCTAGCACACTGAAAGTCCGAAAATCGTTAAAATCAGTATTACAGACGTCTTATACAAAGACAAAAGAACTTCCAGAATGACAAACTTATAAATAAAGTTTTTCAAGCTTTTCAATTTTCCACGCGTTTATTCAGCTTCTAGAGGTAGTAGTTTATCCGTCTGTCCCATAAAAACTTAGTATCTCAATGCAATTTCCGTGATTGACGTCCAGTATGTAGGTAATATCATCCTGTTTACTGAAAGCCTTTGAAAAATACAGCCTTATGAGTACGATCTAGTGGTTTAGGATGACTTATATTTCTAAAAAAAACCCGTCGCTATCTCGAAATCGGAGACATGATTACGGGTTCGTTGACAGCAGTTCCCAGGTAAAGTCACCTTACTGTTCTTAGTGCCATATTGTTTGGTTATTAAAATAGCTTATCAACTGTTCTTTCGCGGGTTACTTGTCATAATAAAAAAATCTTAGGATCACTATTATTATTATTACCTATATTCAATATTATATTTTTGGTAGAATATAGAATTCTCAGCACAAAGATATCGTCATCACTAATTTTCTTGAGTAAATAATCAATAAACTCCTCAAAGTTATATATACATATATTTACTCATCGACATAGGGTTGTGGAGATTTTTTATTAAAAATCTTGTATTTCAACAAATAAACATTATTGACTTCATGTGGTGTTATACAGTCACATGCTCCATATCAAGTGCTTTATAATCATTAGCATATGAATCATTTTTGGACTTTGATAAATTATCTCAGTTATTGGTCTATTAAATCTTTGATTTTCTTACCAGTTATTCTACTTCACATCTATATTTCTCCTTATTTAAATCATGAATTTCAGTTTTCGTGCTATCCATCTTATAGTTCTTTAGTTACGTTTTACGATTATTCGATACTTTAAATCTCTAATCTGCACACGTGCAATTAGCCAACTGTGCTGTACCAAGAGTCTTGTAATTTACAAAGCTTATCTAATCCCCAGAAATGCATTTTTAAAATTGTAAATCTATTTTAATCATCAAAAAATTGAGTCGTTTATTTTGCGTGTTTGAGATTCAGTTGTCTTTCTTATCGAAACTTGACTGGTAGGTCAATAATTTAAATCCAATCTAGACAGCCACGTAGCATCGATACATTGCACATATCAGTTGTGGTTTTTTAATTTATATGTGTTTATGAAGTTATCTATTTGTTGTTGTCTAAAATTACTTTATAGAACTTTTAATTCAATTATTATACACATTTCTGTTACGTTTATTAAAAGTATACCATAAAATCATTATCTACTTTATTAAGTCATGTAACTAACAGTGATAGTAGATTATTTCAAGTTTGCTATTTTGAGCCTTTAGCATTTTAGCTTATCTTGAAGAATAATCACGCGACTTCAAAAGATGCGCTGGGATCAGTCAAAAATCGATAACTGTATAAAACTCTCTGGACTACGGTTATTGAAATTAATAGACTAATCTTATGAATTGAGGTTGACTCTGGATTTTTGAAAATAAGAACGATTAAATCTTAGTATTGGTTGTTGTTCTCTAATCTAAACTTTAGGTCTTTGATCGTAATCCTAGTGTTGATGTCCCACTGACCCCTTTTATCATGTTATCTATTTACATAAATCTGCAGTAAAGGAAATGTGTGACTTTCATCGACATGTTAACAGCTACCAATTCTAATCACCTGGTGAAAAATCTGTTTTGTATATTCTTTAAATTTGTTAGTGGAGCCAATCATCATACATATCGTAGCCGGATTTCGATGTTTCCCCAATTACAGTTATAATAATTATAAAAAGTTACTTTAATTAAGTTTTACGAAGGAGCTTTAGTTAATATTTGTTCATTCTTTTCTCGAGATAGCACCTAAAGTGATATTTATTTCTTTGTCCATGTTGCAATCAGTCGTAGGTCACCATACAGCAGATTAAAATACTAAACCTTTTCAGTACTGCTTTTCTTTTGATTGTTCCTCAATTTTTAAGTCACTCGAATTTTATTTCGCTTAACACATACACACTAGAAAACTGTTGACCAGGTATTGTTTCCTAGTTGTCTGACTGTTGATGTACTAAACCATATTATTATAAAAGCAGTTAAAAATGAGTATATGGTTGTGGAGATCCATTTTTCATTTGGATCACAAACCAATCAATGTTAGATCACCATTAAAAACCTGTAACACTGAACGGCCCTTCTTTCCTAATATGGGATTCCGCAGAAGTGCGCATCCACGATTCCGCACTCCGGACTCCAACCCGAAATCTCCAGTCTCAAACGTTTCCTTTTCTTAAACTTCCTCAATCGCTTTACTGTTCGTTTGTGTGTATTTTTTAAATTTGTGCTTAAATTTCAAACATATGTCAACTAGTTTTAAATGAATAACGTTTTTACATAGGTTAGCATTTTGCTTTGTAACTTCTAATTGGTTTCCTTTTTTAAAATAATGTTATAGTTTGTGATGTTTGAAATGTTCAAAAGTCTCACTGATTAAATCGTCGAGTATTTTGTTTATAAGCTTAGATTACATTTTGGTTAGATGCTTTGCAAGTAGAGCTAGTAAGGTATGTTCGAACGATACTGTAAACAATGAATTAGAGATTATGCATAATATGTCAATTGAATTGGATATCCCCAAGCTTTTTTAACAAAAATACATACAGGGAACAGGAGATTAAGGACATCGGCGATTGGTAAAAAACCTCTCTTCCTGAAGCTAAAATTAAACGGAGATATAGCTAGCGACGTTCTGTGTTTTAGACTAACTAACGTAGCGACAAGGACCTTTTATGAGTTAAACCTCTTACTACCCGGCGACTCCTCAACTAAAAGATACATCAATGGGTTTTCTTACGTTCATGCGTATCTACCAACTGAGCTTCTCCTGATCAAGCTATATTGGGCGTGGAAACAAACATCTTAGTCAACAAGTTAGTGAACACCTTGTATTTGGAAAAAGTAATGACAAGAATAATAACGAATCCCGTTCTATCACGCTTAGCTGATAGTGGTGATTGATTAGATAAGACAAATTTACTCAGAGTGATTTATCTTATATCTTCTACTTTTCCTAATGGGGTTCGATCTCATCTCCCACGTATGCCAGAAGCTATTGGGATTTGGGCCAACAACCGAATTCTTTGTATTCATAGAAAACTCGTAACACCTTCATCTCTTCCATGGCTGAATAAGGCTTAGTATGCGGTTTGCTTATCATTGTTATTATTATCCATATCGTTTTTTCACTTATTTTTCTCTCCATCTTTCGTATGTATTCTTTACCATCTACTTGTTACGTAATTTCACGAACTTTCGTTTCGATGCTTATTTCCCCAGTCTTTGGCCTACTTCCTACTATGAAGCATTTGTTCAAGATTTTAATATTCTTACCACGATTAGTAAACCTATCATCACACTCAGTTTTACTTACTATTTAGTCCATTTCGTTGTTATCATTAGCTCATAAGTTGGTTTGATTAGTCTAATATATATATATATATATATATATATATATATATATATATATATATATATATATATATATATATATATAGTTCTGTATATTAGAGTAAAACCGGATGAAGATCTAGTTGAAAACAATATTGTTCTCTTATATGTGTTGCTCTACTTGTAACTAGGTTGTTGTACTATGTTGTTAAAAATAAAGTATCCTGTAGATTTACAATATAGTTAGTACTGGCTTATTATCCAGAACCTTCCAATAAGATACTTTGTTTCAGCTAATTTCAGCTGAAAAACATTGCCATCTTATCAACCTTTACCATACTCTTTCCAATCGGCA